TATATATATATATATATATATATATATATATATATATATATATATATGTATATATAGCTACAGCATAAGAAAATAACCTTTTTATATTAAAGCAATGTGTGAATATTCACGGATTAATTGTATATTATATGTAATATTATATTATCCTTGATATAAAAGTTATATTATTTTGTATATTTCTTTGTAAGGTAATAAAAAAATTGTAGAGATAAATCTTTGCCCAAGACAATTTACCAAGAGGTAAATACATACCCAAAAAGTGAATTTGCACCACGATAATTTACTCTCGTCATAATCATAATCCATAGCATTATCATACATATTTATGACACATTCCTTTCTGTTAGTAAATTTATTTTTTCTATTTAATGTTTTAATATCATCGTCATCGTCTTCGTCACCTTCCTTATTCTCGACAATTTTACTTGCATTATTATTATCATCTGCTTCTTCTTCCTTATCATCTGCAATATCTTCAATTTCTTCGGGATCTTCATATTCCTGATTTTCTTGATGACGCAACAATGACTTAGTCATTGTCGCATCAGCGTCTTCCGCAGCCTGTTCCTCATCGGATGATTCGTGCATTTCTCCCAAATCCATTCGCGTTCTGTTTCCAGTATTTTCCGGTACTACCTCGTCAGGATCAATTTGATCTATTGCCGCGTCCTCGTCATTTGCCCATATCTTTTCTCCCTCGAAGTGTAACAAAACCTTAGTCATTTTGGCAAATTTCTTAATTTCTTTGAATATATTCTTGAAGAAGGTTTCCTCGGTGCACTTAATCACGGTCCGCGGATGAACGGAAAATTCTCCTTTATAATACTTGTGAGGAAGATATTTGATTGTTATAGTGTGCACCAATCTTCGGTGTGGGCTCTCTTCTATTCTCCTGCTCATCGTGATATCTTTTAGTACATCGCGCAAGACGCATCTTGTTAATCCTAATCTCACCTTTTTCGCCTGTTTTTCAAGATCCTGCAAATTACTTTGGAAGGGTATTTCCATGCTTGGAGTTTTTATGTTTCTCGACGCCATCATTAAGATCTCACGTAATCTAGGAATACCCAAGGTCACGTTCATCTCTCCACGTCCCGCAAAATGGAAAGTATTCAAAGTCATTTGAGTGGACGGCTCACCAATGGATTGCGCTGCTAATAAACCAACCGGTTCACCAGGCGGGCAAATTGTCTTCATAACTTTTATAGCTAACAGATCTCTCAAGGCAGATTTCTTAACAGATTTCGATGAACGAGAGAGATATTCATCTACTAGGCTTTCTATTCGTTCAGATAATACACCGAATTCAATGTCTTGTCTGTATTTTGATATTATCGGATCGGGACATTTAGCACATTGTGCGCGAAATGACTCTTTCACTTCTTTCTTCGCCTTTCCCCACTTCCTTATAAGTGATAACGCGGCTTTGGTCCTTCCACTATAGCTATCAATGGCCTTTTGTTTGGCATTGTTGCTCTGATTGGAATTCTCCATAGAGAATCTACTGAACTCACTGACTCTTCTCTTTAGCAAAGAGGAACCATTTTTACTTTCCCACTTCTTAATCTTTTTTATCGTCTTCATCATTTCCTCACTGTCTGTCTTTAGATATTCCAATAACTTCGTATCTATAATAGAATCTTTATTGTCAACTAGAAACGCAATTTGGTCCTTATTTAGAAAACGCGAACCCGGTATATCAAGGCCGTCCTCTCCGTAATAAAACTGAATTAAACTACCATCATAGTCTCTAACCGTCGCGTCGTAATTAACAATCAAACCTTCCAGATGTTTTACCAAACATCTTTGTAGGTAACCGGACCTACTGGTTTTTACAGCAGTATCGATGAGACCTTCGCGTCCTGCCATACAATGAAAGTAACATTCCTGACTTTTGATGCCGGTCATAAATCTACCATCGATGAAACCACCGGCTCTGGGTGTCGGATCGTATGCTGGAAAACCCGATAAACTCTTCCCGCTGATCATTAACGGTGGCCTTTTACCTTCCAATTCGCTCTGACCGAGCAAACACGATATTTGCATAGTATTAACCGTGGATCCCTTTGCACCAGATTGCACCATAAGCTGTAAGTTGTTGTCCGGGAACTTCTTAAAGAGTCCCGTTTGCAGGCAGACTTTGTTAATATCATTGGTATAAACGTCCAAAGTGCTCTTATACTTGTGATCAATTTGCGCACGAAATTTCGCGTTATTCCAATAAGATTCTTCCATTTTAGTTCGAATTTCATCCATAGGCATATCGTCAGGTACTTTTACAATAGATTTTTGTATAGCCTCTCCGACTTTTCTGCAATTGGAAATGATCTCTTTACGTTTTTCGTCAGTTTCACGTGTTATTAAAATGTCTTCGACACCGAGAGTAAATCCGTCGCACTGTAGAAACATTTGGAATAATCTGCCAAACGCGCTTAACATTTTGCTCGCGCATATTCCTCCATATAACTCGTAAATACAATGAATGAGACCGTAAGGAGTCGCGCCGTAATGCATTTTATCGAGTACGCCGCATAATAATTCTCCGTGTCGAATTATAACTTCAGCTTCCGACATGGTTATCAGATTTTCAAATTCTGTTCCACATTTCCAATGTCGCGGAGCCTTCGTCTGCCATTCTTTTGCGTTAATCTTTGTAGTAGAAACTATATTAATTCGCGCCTTATGCGAGGGAATAATGTTAATAATAACCGTCGAAAGGATCTGCTTACCCGACCACAACATTTTCGGTTTAATGATAGCTGGCGGTAGAAGAATTATATTCTTTTGCTTTATCGGCAGCGCAGTATAAACTAGTTTCGTATAATGCGTCTTTGAGAAGAATTTACCTCTAGTTGTTAATCGTACTCCAGATACCATGTAATCCTGTATAAGGCCACTTAATGGAGTTCCATCTTTCGGCACGAGATACTGATTGAATACATTGGCTATGTTATAACTTTCGCTCCTGGCCAGTTCGTTTTGCGGGAAATGGGCGTTGAGTTCGTCGCCGTCGAAGTCCGCGTTGTACGCTTTACAATTGGCATAATGAAGATGTAACGTTTTCTCTCCTTTCAAAACACGCGCTTTGTGAGCCATTATACTCGGTTTGTGTAATGTTGGTTGTCTGTTCAATAGCAGTACATCGCCGTTTTGGAGATGCCGATGTACTACTTTAACTCCAATGAAGGACTCGTTAGTCCTGTCGTTCGTTGTTAAGAGACGTTTCGCGATAGCTTCTCTTTGCGTGGAATCGTTACTATTAATGGCTTGTATCAACCCATCCTCATTTTCTACCATAACTGCACCAGGATGAACATCGGGACCATTTAAGACTAATCGTCTCAATTCAACGACGTTCCACGGCGTTATAGCTACAGGATACGTTAATTTGCGAGCGAAAGCCTCGGGAATGCCAACTTCATCGATATTCAAGTCGGGGTCAGGAGTAATAACTGAACGCGCGGCAAAATTCACCCTTTTGCCCATCATGTGCATTCGAATGATACCTTCCTTCTTTTCGAGAATTTGCTTCAAGCCCTGGCCATTGATAGATTCCGGTGTTTTGTTCATATCGCGATCTATCAAGTGATTCACGTTGCTTTGCAACGCCTGCCAAGCATTGTGCAACTTTTCAACAGTCGTAACTCCCTTTATCTGTTCAAAGACAAGTCGACCCTCTTGAGGTAAATGATCGGTACCTCCATCTTGGATCGTTTGTATAATATTTCTCAAGACCAGACAATCTTGTATGATGCCTTTATAAATGTGAGTTTGAGGATGTTCGACCATTTGACCGTTAAGAAAATTTACCGGCCGTACGATCGGCGGTAGCACGGGTATCACTTCAAAGAAGAATACGTCAGTGGGATATTCGATGTCTACCAATTTTAAGCAAGGTACAATTATCTTGAGAAAGTCTCTTTCGTTGTTCCACAATTGCCGTAGATATTCCTTAGATTGATCTGGCATAACCATCACTGTCTCCAATTTATGTGCCACTTTGCGAGAGAGCACCTCTTTGGAAGGTGCAACTTCTTTGTTGTTTATCATTATTTTATTTTGCAGCGTCGAAATCTTTGGGAGACCGTTTTGACAATTTATGCATATCCCAGCTTTATTGTTTCTCACATATTGCTTAAGTATATTTTCGACATACGCGTGCCATTGCATAATGATGTTCTTCATATTAGTTTGATCCTCATGATTGTGAGGCACGATTTGACTGCTGTTCTGCCGAATTCTGTCGAAGTTCTCCATGTAATCGTCAATTCGACGAATGTACTCCATTTGTTCTGCTTCATTCTGTGTGCTCGATATTACAGATGTTACTTCTTGATCCAAGCTATCGAGATCGCTAAGTTGCCCTTGATAAAGTAACTTTAATTTTGCAGACAGCAATCGCTTGATGTATGATGGTACTTGTAACGTGAAACAACTTAAACATGACAGTTTGAGTAACATAGATAATGCTTTGTGAAATAATGGATTGACGACAGGGACTGGCAGTTCTATATGGCCAAAGTGACCTGGACACTTGAAACCACTATGTCCACATGTGCTGCATAGCTCTGAACTGTTTTTCGTTGTACCTACAATAAATCAAAGTATAGTAAATTAAACTTTATAAAATATAAGAAATATAACATAACTTTTTTGTTATGTATTTAATTATCTATATATTACTACGTTTACGCGAGCGTTACTTCTGTAGTAACTTACGATAATTTACTCCGCGTAAACGAGTGAATTATCGTAAGTTACTACAGAA